AGAGTGGTTTCAGTTGAAATTGATAGTATCCATGCCATTATATTCACGACCAAACAGTCGTTGTGGTCCGGTTTTCAGTTGATCGCTCACATTCCCGGACAATGATATTTCGTATCATCTCTATACCTTTAGACCCCAAGTGAAGGCACTGTAAGTTCAGGTGAATCTAACGAATCTCGTTCTACCAGGGAATACCACAAGTGATTGATGCTTTGGCCGTCATCCTTGATCTATTAGACTAGGTCTGTCAAACCTCGTTCAGTCGGAATGAACTGGTTTCTCCAAACAAAAATACTTTTTGCGCGAGTTATCGAGCGAGAATGAAATTTACTGTCGGGATCCCTGACCGTTGTTCGAGTGAGCCTAAGATGAGGTTGAACGAACCAGACCTCGATCGGTTGTGTAAGAAAGTGACTCATGCACAGATGTGAATGGATCATTCTATCAGTGGGTTCAGTCTATAGGCTGCCAAATAGCCTCGTGAGAAAATTCCATTTGCGTCTCCTGCATAGGGAGAATTGATTGGTGCGCAAAAAGGGGCGTTTGTTCCAACCACAGAGGCATCAGTCTGTTTTCACCGGGGCCGAAACTGTTGGTGTCCATTTTAGTACGTAGTCTCAGCCCATTTCATGCGACACGAATCCTCGAAGAGGAGGCTAGATTTCGTGCCTGCCGTGGTTGCATAAATCAAATCTTCTTCTCACTTCACCTGTTGGGACACCTTCCTACTTATAGGCAACAAAATATGTTTCTGGTTTTGGATATCAGAGCTGCCTTCAACTCGGTTGATCGACCAGTTCTGTCCAACAGTTTTCTGATACGGAATAACCGAAAACCATGTGAACTTCCACCTTCGATTCTCGTCCTCAGTGCAGTACGACAAGGTTGCTCTATTTCTTCGTTTCTCTTTAGCTATGTCATGGATAATGTCTGCAAAATGCATTATCTGGTGTAGCAAACCAGATAGAGACAAAGTCGTAGACTTAGAGTATCACGATATTTATTGCTACAAACATACTGCTCTTGGATACAAGTATATCAGTACATTTTCAGTCTGTCTAACCGTAAACCGTGCACTTCCGTGCGCCGGTTTTGGTTGCTGTATTTTGGCTGCTCATTTGGATGAACATTAGGAAAAAGACATGAAAATTTGAAAGTAGAGTCCAATGGAAAATGGAGAATTTCAGTGGATTAATGTTGCAAATAAATTGAGAAGATACACAAACGCCACTGTTTACGACACTCAGCCATATCACTCACTGTCTCTAACCATCGGTGACGATGATCTCGGGGTCCCGAGCTAGGGAGCCTAACGGGATCTGGGACCCAGTCCTCCGGTCAGGGTTTTCATACCCTCGTGCCAGATCTTAGCTTGACCACCATTGGCTTTATTCCACCCACTACCTGCCTCGGCAAACATCACTCACCGTGGCAACCTATCTGGTGACATGCGTGACAAATGCCTCAACCAACGTTATCTATGGAGGTCGACCAATTATTTGCTCCAGTGAGAGACCGCATTTACCTAAAACTTTACGCCTGACCTCAACGTTGCTCGTCCGGTTACACCACCGGATTCGCGCAATGCTGCGTAGACAGCGCTATTCAAACACCGACAGTCTGTCTTTATCCTGTTTTCTTAATGGTCAGGTTTCTGCTCCGGATAGCAGAACTGCCGCAGCATACAGTCGACACTTAACAGACAGCCGGATGTCGCGGTGGCGCCACAGATGTCACAAGTTGGAAAATGCCAAGTATGTGAAAGAGCCAACGAAAGATTACCTGATACACATGCCTGACAAGCGGCATGAACCTTGAAACCGTTCGTGTGCTTCCAGAGAAATCTTGTCGAGTCATTCACGTACTACTTGCTGTAATAATGTATACTTCTTCAGGACGACTGGCAACCGTGGTAAGTCAGTGGTTCGCAAGCTGGTGTAAGCTACGATCATGCTCACGTCACTCCCAATAACCTTGAAATAACAGAGCAATTGCCAACCAGGGCGCGCTGGGGGAGGCTTACTGATGACGAGAATTGACACCTTTCATGTCCGCGTTAGTGTCAACCCGCATATAAGATGGCCAACCCATGCAATAGGTCCCGATCACACTGCGTAAGGAGTTAAAATCCACCAACAAACGAATTTGACACCGGGAAAAGTAAATGCCGATTATTATGTATGGCCTCGAATTCGTGTTTCGGGCATGAGGAAAAACGTTTTGGTGCGATGAACATGTAGGGCGAAATACAAGAAGACGCATAACTCTACTACTGGTATGATCGGTGGAAAGAGCAGTTGTTCAGTTAGCGGATCGTCGGTCGAAACTCCAAGATTTGACGGGATTCCTTCTCAAGAAACGGCCAAACCGAACTCACCAAACTGCATGTGGTCCATATTGTGATGCATTCGTTCATTGGAGTAGCACCTTATGCTAGCCAGGGCATCAAATAATCACATCGAAGACATTTTCTAGCATAAAATCGGCTTAGTTCACTACTCGTATCTAAAAACATGCTGGTTATTAGTTCGCGGTAGATGATTCTGCCGTTGTCCAGTTTTGCAA